TCCAGCTGACGAGTTTCAAATAGGACGAAACGCGCTTCCTCGATTCCACTACTAGCCACTATCCATCTCTGCTTATAATCCTTGTGACTTAAGGCAATATCGAGGCAATCTGTACAGTATGCACACGTGCAATGAAAGACTAATCAATTGCAGTCCTAAACATCAATGAGAAGATTCAAGTGAATAATAATAATTATTAAAGTTTTCTCTGATTAACCGCATTGATTTGTCAATGAAGTTGGTTGTGAATAAAGAAAAGAAAATAGCCCTTTGGGTATTTTTCTAAATTTGTCAATAACACCTTATAATTACTGGCTAAAAATAATTCTTCTAACCATTTATAAGTGATTAGATCAAGTTATTTCATTTATCAATCTTGAATATCTGTATAGTCCTAATTCTTCTGTTTATTAGTGTAAATAGTCTTATTAGAATGGGAGTTTATGGAGATTGTAGCGACTTTTTTAATAGTTGAATTCATGAGTTGATACAAGCTAGACCACTATTGAAAACCTGGAAGAACTGGATGCCCGTTTCGTCCTTTTGTGAGACTCCCCAACAGTGCGCATCTGCAATCCTGTACGTGGGACTCGAACCTAATAACAAGGTTTGATGTCGACTCAATGGTCTACAGATTAAGCGTTACCGCACAAAACAGAATGTCCTAGGTTCGTTTCTCGTGGATGAGCATTACTGAGGAGTCCCTAACTAGGAAGAAACGGCAGTCCAGTGCCTTTAGGTTTTGAACGGTTGTCTGGCTTTCACTGACTCATGAACTCAACGAGTAAATAGTCTTAGTTAATTCTTGTGATTTGATAATTGTTTCCAGACTTAAGAAAAAAGAACCAGTGTACACTTAGATAAAACGATTGAGACAAAATATTCTACAATTTTCAAGTACTTTAAATGATAAGAATTCCAATATTGTAAGTCAGAACTATATAGATGTAAGCGAACAATATTGTTTACAATTAGATTATCATCAAGCTTTACTCTTATATACATAAATATTTAAGATAGTGGTTGGAGGTAGTCAACAGGAAACCCTGTTAACCGGGGTTTCGTGCTACTTGGCACTCTCAGCAAGGCGTACCTGTAATCTTAAGGGAGCTGGTGCTCCCTGACGGATTCAATTCAGTCTCACCCAGCTTCGTAGTCAGAGACGTTACCACTGGCTATCCGGGCCGCAAGCGACCTCCTGTAGGACTGAGATGTAGTCACAATTGGTTGGTTGGTCCGGATCGAATCCGTCAGGAAGCAGCAGTTCCTTCAAGATTACAGATACACCTTGCTGAGAGTGCCAAGTGGCACGAGACCCGGGTCCAGGGTTCCCTGTTGACTCCCTCCAATCACCATCTTATCTCAACATAGTACACACAATGTGGAGTCACCTAGACTAATAGCCACATCCCAACTTGGTCGATAGCATTCGAGCTGCACTAAGAAGGACTTGATACACATAACATTGATCAGCACCCAGTGATCAATCAATTGTGAATACATGAATATTTATAAACGGATATGAAATTATAAAACCGATGAAGGTAGTTTTTGAGTTAACGATAACAGTAGAATAGATTACATAAATAAACATAATAAGTGAAAAGTATAAATCGGTGGTGTGACGTCAGGTATATTATTATTATTATCATTATTACTATTATTATTGTTATTATTATTATTATTAAAACATAAACATTGGTATAAGGGGGCATCAAATAGATATCCGTCACATAAATCATTCGATTTGTGTAAGGGCTGGTATACTAACCGGGTGCCCAAACCGAATCAGGTGGTTTTATTAGGGAGACACAACCAGAGACTTCGACCTAAAGGTCTCATACATAAGGCAGTGATGCAACCTTGAGAGATTCAGTTTCATGGTAGCCAGTGACCAACGATTGCCTCAAACGCCAGTTGTTTCTTCAGGATCATGGAACCCATGTGCACCGTTTGTTTGAAGTGAGGGTTTCCCAACTCCCCTAGATGGATCCTCCATATCCGCCAATCCTGTTAAAGCGCCAAACATTCTCTTTTCATCCTCTCAATTTCGTAAACAACATCCCTTGGACGAGAGTGCAGTGAGTAATACTTTCCTGTTAGTTGTTGTATGCACATGGCTATGTGAGAGGATTTGTAGAGAGAAAGCTGACTCTCCCCACTCTCGGTCTTACCAGGGTATTTGGGGGCGATGTCAGGTGTACTAGTTGTGATAAAAATAATTAAAGGCTTAAATCAACGTTTCATAATAGAAAGTAGGTCAATCACTTGTAAAAGTAAACACGCTGATATAACATTAATTAAAATAAGAGGTGATCATATGATTAGACTGTGAAGCATATATTTGAAAAAGAACAAACAAAGAGTATAAATAATAATAATCAATTAAATTTAGAAGCACTAGACAACCGTTTCGTCCTAGTATGGTACTCATCAGCAGCGCCCATCCACGATCGAATTCAACTATTAAAATTACTAAAATCTTCATAAATCCTTATTCTGATAATAAATGAAATCATTGATTAAGGTCAATTTGGCCAAGAAAGAGATAAGAGTGTTACGAATCTTTTATGAATACAAAGAGTTAGATTGTTAATTCGAATCCTTGTAGCTTCTGCTATGTGTAAGAGACGATATTGAACACCATAAGGAAAAGTAGAAGAAATATAATAATCACTTTAAATGACCTATTTTTCTCTTTTACATGACCGCTATAGATCAAGTGTGATAGAACAGAGCTGCGTTTTGTTTCAACAGTATCTTTCCTAACAAGAAGGGAGGGTGTTCACTAACTCGTTGACCCAGTTGTGTGACTGTGCACCCATTATAGCTTTCTCCACAGGAGCAGCTAAATTTGTAGATATAAATGGATGTGGCAAGACTGGGTAACTTACCCTTTAATTGGAGAATCACCATAGATCGGTTAGAGAACGATAGACAAAGGTTAGTTGTATCGAACATCCTCTTCATTGCTATAGTCACTCTGTTTCGTAGCACATCATCAGCTATATCTCTGATGAATTATCTTCAGGAAGAGAACTTTCTTACAAACTGGTATGCAGGGCCAGTCAGAAGTAGCCTAGTGAAAAGTCAATCGATGGCAATCAGAAGTCACCTAAAGGTCAAGTAAATTTCACTGGGGGTTAGTGGGTCAATTTCCTAAGGAAATACTGAATATATACTACATGAGAGTATTTCTTCAGAAAACTCTGGCTGAACCATTTTAATCAACATATTATGAATAAGCTTTAGTTTCTTGTTTATACTGTCGTCTGAGCATATCTTTCTAGCTTTAATTATAAGATATCTAAATCGATTTTGCTTACAATGAATGGATAATAAGTTTAAGAAAAGTATGTACAGGTTTGCTGAAGAACTTTTTCTATAGAAGTCACTGTCTATTGATGAGAATCATATTCGTAGGTAAAAACTGCCTGAATAAGGTTCGAGCAATCATCATAGCCAATAGTTGAATGAGTTAATCGACATTGTTCGTAACCAGTGACAATGCGGCCACACTGAATTGGTCTATATCTTTCTCTTCAAGAATCTTTTTATTCTTCTGGAAGTTGATTTTTTTTCTACTACCAAATGTGTTTTTTCTATCACTGATACTATCGATACACCTTCCTGTGTTGATGTGATGTAACAAATTGGACTATTCCATTAAGATGTGGAGAAGATTTGTAACTCAGGTGGATGATTTTGATAGAGTTTTGTTCTTTAGATGGTTTGGTCGTGAAGCTTTCATCATTCTTCTAAACAACATCATCATCAGTGTAAACTTCAGATAGAATTGAAATGTTCAATTTCTCTACATATGGTTGACAGCTTGTCCTGTAGACCTCAATGTTGATTGGTTCTTGGTAAAGGTTTAAGGTAATAAGTACCACAAATCCCCCATACAGTTATGTGCACACCAGTGATTAGCTTTAAGATGTAACACCTGGAGTTCTAGCGGGAAGGCATGATCAGTAGAGTTTAATCCGTGTCGTGTGTGATACAGTTACTCATCAAAGATAATAGAAGATAATTGTGCAATATCATTGGATTGATTGAGTTTAGATATTAAAATCATTGGATACTGGTTCATTTATCTAGAGATAGTGTTCGCGCAAGAGATCAAAGGTTTTGGATTTGATTAAAGATTCGGGTTTTTGGGTGAGTAATACCGAAGAGTCTCATGCTAGGATGAAATGATTGTTCTGTGCTTCCAGATTTCCAACGTTGATCTGTTCGTGATTTGAACTTGTACATTCGTTTAAGATTCATTTTAATATGAACAACAATCCTTTATTCAGTAAAGTTCGATGCTAACTAGAAGTGGGACCCAGAAGGCGCATTTCATTCTATTAGGAACTCATCAGTTCGATATGTCTTCACTTCAGTGTTAATGTTCACTTAGGGACTCGGACCTAGTTCATTGCAAAACACGTTAACCAGTTAGCTAGTAATCTCGACTAACAATTGTCTTTTACATTAAAAAACACAAACCATCATATATAATTCACTTGGTTATTGTTTACTTGTATCTTCCCATTGATGTTTAGAACTGCAATTGATCAGTCTCTCGTTGGTATATGTACATACTGTTCGCATCGCCTCGATATTGCCTCAATTTACAAGCATTATAAGCAAATATGGATAGTGGCCATCGGTGGAATCCAGGACGAGCGTTTCATCCTATTTGGAACTCGTCAGACGGATGTACCTGCATCTCAGAGCTGATTTTCACTCTGGAACTCAAACTCAGTACCGTTCCATCGCGTTATCCGCCTACCTACTGAATCCTAATAGCCACCTACTTGTGCAATGGGATGAAGCTTGAATTCATTTGGTATTGTTTACTTGAATCTTCCCATTGATGCTTAAGACTGCAATTGATCAGTCTGTTATTAGCATATGTGCGGATTGCCTTGATATTGCTTTAATTCACAAACATTCTAAGCAAAAGACGAAACACCCATCAAACTGGATTCCACTACTAGCCACTATCCATCTTTGCTTATAATCCTTCTAAATTAAGGCAATATCGATGTAATACTCACAGTATGCACATATGCTAACAAAAGACTGATCAATTACAATCCCAAAATATCAATGGAAAGATTCAAACAAACAATACAAAAATAAATTAAAAATCTACCCCCCCTCATTGTATAAACTTTTGACTATCTGGACTCAATAGCTAAGTAGACAACATGGTAGCGTTCAAAGTGAATGATAATCGGTTCGAGTCCTGAAGTGATCATCATCTGTGGAATACAAGTCTATCCAACTGATGAATCCCAACTACGACGAAACATACATCAAGCTGGATTCCAACCCTTAGCAACTATCCATCTTCATCATAAACATATAACTCAAACATATTTTCTAACAAATCAATATCTTTTTTTAATTCTCAATAAATGAAAGAACTATGTACATTCATCATTAAGAAGAAGATAGTTCAATGGAATTTAGAATAGAAATTGTATTCATTGATTCCCTTTTCGTATTATTCAAATTCAAATGCTGGCCATCGACATATTGGACAATCTAAACACTTGAAGAAAATACATATAAAAATAATAAGATACAAATCAATAATTCTGAATATATGGATCATCATTAAGATGTAGAATGAATGTAGAAGATCAAATATTCTGTTGGTGAGATTATCATTTATAGACGAACCAATCAAGGATAAGATGAAAAAAGTTTTGGATTTTGGCGCGAAATTCACTCATCCATAGAGTTTTGGCATTATAGCTGATGTCAGCTCATGATGAAAACGCTAAAATCTAATTCTTAACCTTAACTATCAACTGTAAATCATAATTCGAATTTTCCACACTGGTTTATAGTTCTAGTTTGTAGGTGGATACTCTCAAGGTCACCTTAACGCCACTCAAAGGTTGTCCATAAATCATAGGTCTCACTGTCAATTAAAGCTAGATCACCATAGAAAACCTGAAAGCGTTGAACGGTCGTTCCGTCCTATTATGCAACAATGATCCCGCCTCGTGGGATTCGAACACATGACGTATCAGTCTCACACGCGAATGTTTAACATCTAGACCACTGAGCTGGCATCCAACGGTGTGTGTAACTTCAATCGATCCACGAAATCGAGCCACTGTCCACCGCCATCTTTCTGATAATAATCACCATATGCTCGCTGATGCCTGGCTTCAAGAGGTATTTCCTGGAGTTCTAGTGAGAACCAGTAACCAGTAGAGTTCATCCAGGTCTGTTGTAAGTTGTAACTCACTGAAGACAATGGTGGACGGTCGCTCATGTTCCAAGTCTACTGCATGTTACTACATAATCAAGGTAATTCCGGTAAAATTTTTGATTTCTGTTCGGAATATAAGCCTATTTGAAAGTCCCATCTTCTCTGTCACATAGTGACATGTGGATTATTAACGTCGAAGTATCAATTTACATCAGACGTCCGATCTTTTAGAGCTCCTGATTGTATTTGTTCACACTAATGGATTCTTCATTTGTTTGTAAGTAGAACTTACCGTAATACATGATCATCTTTATCAGGATTTAAAAGTTTGAATTATGACATCATTGATAATTAGAACTATTCTAGAAACCCCTTACATTTCATAAACTTACCTGAAAGTCTTTTTATTTTCGCTAAAATCTGTTACATTCTCATTCCGTATACCTATAAGTCAGTTTATATGACCAAATGAAGTGAGTTCTTCCATTCAGTTAAAACAAACTATCCAGCCTTTGATGGAGTTTTGTTCTACCTTCGTACTGATGATGTCGTTCAGAAGAACGATGAAAGTTCCACAAACTAATGAAATTTTTCATATCTTATTTGATATTTCACATTACTGACTAACTTTGACTAGACAACCACTAAAAACCTGGGAGTACATAACAGCTGTTCCGTTCAAGTGTGAGTTCTCAGTAGTGCACACCAGTGACATTCGCTATGAGGCCTTAAGCTCGGTCTATGGTGAGATCTTGAATCCGTATTGTTGAGGAGTGCTATGTTAGGTGGGAACACCTGTTCAATGTTTCCTTGTTTTTATTGTTTGGCAAATCAAAAACTGATAGTGACATTAAAATGCATGCTTAGCAATCTCCACAACACCACTTAAGACGGTTACTTACCGAACACAATGGAAAACGGTTGGTCAATACCGTGCATTGATAGAAGTTAAACATAAACACCTCTAAATGCCAGTTCAGTGGTCTAAAGATTAAGCGTTTGCACACAAGACTACAATTTCTAGGTGCGATTGCCTACTGAGAGTTTGTGAATGTGCAATACTGACTAGTCCCATACTAGATGAAAACAATCGTTCAGTGATTTCAGTTTTTCAATGATTGTCTAACATTGATGTGTTCATAATTTCAATAAAACTCAACAAACTCCACAACCCTACACTTAAAAATTACAATACTGATAATTATATCTGATGTATTAAAAGTTACCTCTAAAATCCAATCTACAAAACAATCATCATGGAATGCATGAAAACATGGAAGTCGTATCACTTCATCTCCAATACAATACTTTTCCATGCATATTACACATTGATCTAATATTTTAACATGGAACGTGTTTAGTAACACACTGGTTGGTAGAACATCTAAGAGTTCAAGGTAAACGGATTCTAAAGAATAAAGAAAACATAGTGACAAAAAAAGAGTTAACAATAGTCAAATCTTTAATTGGATATAAACTGTTTAGTATTAAGGTGGTAGTGGGAGATGGTGGACAGGGAACCCTGAACCTCAATTTTGTGATACGAAACACTCATCAGTAAGGTGTACCTGTAATCTTGAAGAGACTTCCAAGAGGACTTGGTCCCTTCACCGAGTTTCCCAGCCCATATTACAGAAGGTCAGTTGTGACCAGGATAGTGATAACATTTCTGACTAACTCAACAAAAATTTGCTAACACATGGTGAAACCGAATAAACTACAGGGAAGTTTCTTTTCATTGCCGCATTTATTCGTCCATTAATTCATTTGGGAAAACAGATGCGAACAGGAGTTTTACAAAATGTCGGTTATTGTTAGGACTCTCCTTGTCACAGTTCACTAGGCCATTCAAAGGTAGATCAATACCCTACTAACATCACCGCTAATCATATCTATAGACCTACCCTTACCTACAATAACCTCAGTCAGATTTCCTAAACACTTTCCAAGGAATTAGTGCTTGAAAAACAGTAAAGTCTTTACAACTTCAATCGTTAAGCATCTAATAGATCGTGTATATAAGGTCGAAGGCAGTTATACATTCATAACACCTAATACTAATTTTACTATGTTCGTAAATATCCCTACTTAAAATTCTGATTACCCTCTCAATAGAAAGAGAGATTTGGAGAATAACAACCAGTTTTATAAACAAAGATAAATGGTGGCTAGCAGTTAAATCTGATACGCATGTTTCGTCCTAACTGGGACTTGTCAGCTGAATGTACCTGTATCCTAGAGTTGATGTTCACCCCGGGACTCGAACTTAGTACCGTTTACTTCAAACTCTGTTAAGTTATCTACTTGGCTACTGAGTTATAAGTCCATCTTTACTTATAAAGCTTGTGACTTAAAGCAATATCGAGGATCTCCTTACATGATGCACATATATTAACAAGAGATTGATCAATCGTAAACTTTAACAACAATGGAAAGATACCAAGTGAATCTAATTACCAATTGCTGTCAACATTATTTATTTATTTATTTTAACACATAGATATTGGTACAAGGAAGCACAAAATATATGTGCAACACATAGATCTCATTTGATATGTGTGAGGGCTGTGTTACTGACCGGGTGACCAAACCGAAACAGGTGGTTTACTTAGGGGGCCACAACTGGAGCCTTCGACCTGATGGTCTGATCCATAAGGCAGTGGAGCATCATAAGGAAATGCAGTCCCATGGTAGCCAGCCAGTGACCAAAGATTGGTTCATACACCATTTGTTCCCTCAGGGTACTAGAGCCCATGTGCACCAGTGGTTTGAAATTAGGGTTCTCAAACTCCCCTAGATGGACTCTGCATTTCCACCAACCCGGTTAATGTGCCGGATATTCGCTTTTCGTCCTCTCAATTTCGTAAACAACACTGTGGCCATGAGAAGACGGTGAGTAGGACTTCCTTGGCAGAGGCTATATAAGCGTGGCCATGTGAGAGCATTTGGAGAAAGAGGGCGGACTCTCCCCACTCTCGGCCGTACCAGGGCGCTTGGGGGCGTTGTCAACATTAACCAACCCGATTTATTGTTACTAGTTATGTGTTTATTGAAAAAATATTTTGAAAGATTGTACATATTTTAAAAAAAAGTACACCGTGAACATAAAAAGATTCAAAATAACGAGACTATAATTTATGTACAGACCAATCAGATTTAAGATAACAAGTCTTCGATTTTGGCACGAGATTTATTCGTCCATTTGGCTGAATAGAATTTTAGCATTTTTAGTTGATGTCAACTTAAATCTAATTCTTTGGGGCAATTTCGTGGATTGGTTGAAGTTAGACATTAACACCGTTGGATGCCGGCTCAGTGGTCTAATGGTTAAGTGCTCGCGCGCGAAGCCAGTAGGTCCTGGGTTCGATCCCCGCGTGGTGCGGGATCGTGGATGCACACTGCTGAGGGGTCCTATACTAGGACGAAACGGCCGTCCAGTGCTTCCAGGTTTTCAATGGTGGTCTAGCTTCAACTGACTCATGATTTCAATCTGTGAAAATTTCTAAAAATCTCCACAAACCCCTTCTGATCATCTATTGTATATCACAATTTTAATTCTCCATACTGGATTATAGCTCTCATTTTAGTCCTAGTTACTGGGTGAACACTCTCAAGGTCATTTAAGCGTCACTCAATGTTCCTCCATAAATTATAGATCTCACCAAAATCTACAATTTAAACAATAATTAAAATCAATATTTTTTTGTAATCAATTTTTAAATGTTTGTTTACATTGAATGTAAACTAATCAATTTTTGGCGCTATTTATGGATGATAAATATGGTTACTGTAATTGGACTAATTCATAAAGAAAATTAGTAATAAATATAGTTTATTCTATTGTAGGACTCCTTAGCAATGCACATCCATGATCTCGACTTACGACATTCGAATTTGATGAGTTTCACAATAGGACGAAATAGCCATACAATCCATTCAGGTTTTCTATGATAATCTAGTTTCAATTGAATCATGATCTTAACTATTGAAATGATTAGAATATCTACAGAAACCCCTTTGTGATATAATTTAGTGAGAGAAAACTGTTGAAAAAGTAATAAAATGTTAGGTTCGTTAAGCTTGAACGCTACTACTGATTCGTCTTACTCTGAACGGAACGAAGAATCAAGGATTCAGAGACTTGATAGGCTATACTGGTCCGTTATCCCCGACTCAGCTAATTCGATCTAGAAGTCTTGGTAAGATGTAGAAAGTATATTCAACAGATAACCAGAAGATACCAGGTCAATCAAGCACACAAATCAAGCGTATTTATACAAATATATATAATCGATGTTGCCATGGAAGTTTTTAAACATTTAATCGTCAATCCAAAATGTACGTAGGTGGTAAGAAATGCCCAAGCATACATCTGCATACAAGCTCCACAAAGATAAAATTACAAAATATGAGCTTTTGGGGATCTAATGTCCACAATATAAAAACAACACATGAAGTACTGGAACATTTGTCACTCTTTTCCTTATTGTTTATAGTCTAGAATATCCAAATATATCAGTGAATGTTTTTTAAATTCCTGGTCACTATAATTACCTTCAAGGGTTCATATTTTCTAAAATCAGTCAGTTTTTCATATGACAAGTTAGAGATTAACATCATTGAATACTGACTCAATGGTCTAGAGTTTATCCGCTTATGCCAGAAACAGAGAGTACTAGGTTTCATTGTCGGATACGGGTTCTTGAACATGCATTGTTGTGGAATCTTATACTAGGAAGAAACGGCTGTTCTATGATTCCAGGTTTTCGATGGCGGTCGAAGATTGATTGGTTCGTAATCTCAATTATGTATAATGTTTTAGGTACACATAGCTGACGAGTTCCAAATAGAACGAAACTTACTTCCTGGATTTCCCTGCTAGCCATCGTCCAGCTTAGCTTAGAATGCTTATGAGCTAAGGAATTATCAGGACATTCCGCACAGGATGCACATATACCAATAAAAGATTGATTAATTGCAATCTTAAACGCCAATGAGAAGATCCAAACAAACAATACAAAATGAATTCACACAAATTTATAACTAAAGATGGATAGTGGCTAACAGGGCGTTTACTTTGTCCTATTTGAGACTCGTCAACTGGATGTACCTATATCTCAGATTTGTCATCCACTCCGGGACTCGAACTCAGTACTGTTCGCTTCAAACTCCATCACTTTATCCACTTAGCTACTAAGCGAGTAGACAATAACAAGTGAAGTTAAACAAACTTAATTGTCTCTTTTATTGTTTACAGTTGGAAACTTTATGATGACTCTGACTGAAAAAAATCTGATTAAAAATATGTGTTGTAAACTATTTCAGTATGTGGTAGTAATTAAAAACCTATTCTGTTCTCATATTAACTATTTTCATGTGATGAAGTCATCATCGATTTAATCAAATAATTAATAGTGTAGTATGTGCTATTGATTTCGATAGATATAAGTAGTATGTATCATCAATCGAAAGTGATATACCTGGTGGCAGAAGGTTAAGAAGATCGAATAAAAGAGAACCGGGAATAGAGAGTGATTGATGTGAAAACCAAAGAACAATGAAGTCTGATGATTCTTTCACTTCTGTTCTCTTCAGTTCAATCTTCTCAACTTTCTGCTGGCACATATACCACATCCGATTACTGCCACATACTACTTATATATGTCAGAGTAGGTTGTATACACCACAACACCCGATTCAGTGGTCTAGAGATTAGGTATTCGAGAGGAAAAATGAAGGTTCTGGGTTCAATTACAGGATGCGGGTTCGTGGATGAGTACTGTTGATGAGTCTCTTATTAAGATGAAATGAACTTTTAATCTTTCCAGATTTTTAATTGTAGTCTAATCAATATCAACTCGTGATTTGGACTATGGGAATATACAGAATAGTTATACCACCTATCTCCCCTTATAACCCATATCATCAGTTGAGGTAAATACAATTAAAGTTCTAGAGTAGTATGGCTGTAGCATGCATGGATGAGAGCACAGAATACGTAGAGTAGCAGCCAGCTTTCTGTCTAATAAGAAAGAACATTGCAATACTCTCCCTACAGTGTATGTTTAAATAATTGCTTCAATCATGTTATTTTCTAACCTGAATACATGTAATTCCTTATCGCTATTGATTTGTGGTCACCATTTTACTCTATATTATGTATTGAGCAACTAAATAATTAGAAGTTATCTGCTTTCTGTATTGTGTTGATTATAGGGTAGGCAAGAGTGGGGCACTGCCTTCTGGATCAATAGTTACTTGGTGTTATTTTCGGCTGTTACTCACATTTATCGTGTCATTGATTTGCCGCAGGTCACTAGCACTAGATAAACTGTCTATGAGCTGATCAATACTTAAATGAGATCAATACAACTGCTCTCCTGTCTTACTATCTGATCACACGTATCACAAAAATACCAGTACATTACTAACATGTAATTTATTTGAAGGCTATATAAATGGGAATCATTTGCCCGTCTGGTTTCATGCTATTTCGCATCTAACAGCAGTATGATATGTTTGCAGTACTGGGGAAACTGATGAACTCGTGGGTTTTCACCCGAAATACCTATTATTACAGTGTGAAACTGTATTACTGACGTAATAAACCCAACTGATCTCCTGTAGGACTGAGATACTGGGTATAAAGAATATCATAGTCGTTTAGTCCTAGGTGCTCATCGAATCCCGTCAATCAAAATGCAACGTAGTTTGTAGTTCAAATAGATCTACTCCAAATGCCGAACATCAAAAAATAACGCACACAAGGTTAATTCACCCAGACTAGTAATCACATCATCACTGAATCAATAGAATTCTACTGATGTTGAAAACCAAACTAGCACGACATTGAAAATCAATCAATATAAATGAGGTAATAGTGTGATTAGTGTCATCAATGTATCAAGGTGAAATGACCTTGTTTTGTCTTGACATGCAGTGGAATAGTCTATAATGTCAGTTACTTATAATTAACAAATAGTCTGATTTAAATGTGTGCGAGCTCAAGTTGTCTTACCTTATTAGCACAACAAAATGAATGACAATGGAATCGAAATAATACAGTAATGAGAACACTTAATATCAGGAAGATGGTTCAAAAAGACAAAACGCAATTAGATGGGCGAATAGGACTACTGGAACTTAAGAGCTTACCTACATGCTTACGCCTGTTACTCCTTGTGGAGGAGCATGGACCGCCAAATTAAGGTCTACAGAATAAAACGTAAGTACATTTAGGCTACTGTGATCAGTTCCAAGTCATATCATCCAACGTCTCTAATCGTATGTTATAATATGAATTCTGACTAGGTAACTATATTTAATTTCTATTGTCTAATTCATTGGTTTTTCTTTAAACAAACTCGGTGAAGTGCAATAGTGAGGTAGTTACTTATAAATGATAATCTCTGTATATCATACGAAGTTATAAATATGGACCATTGATCCTTAAATCAGTGACTGTTAATCAATACAAGTGAATGATACTAGGATTGTAGATCTGTACTCATGAAGAGCTTTAAACTAGAATAAAACACCTTTACAGTGTAACCCGACATTTGTACATCATGATTGACATTGGCTTAATATTTACTGTCAGAAGGGGTTTTTGCATAAATGAGTTGAATAAAGTTAGACCACCATAGGAAGCCTGGAAGCACTGAAAAGATGTATGGGACTCCTCAGCAGTGTACATCCATGATCCTGTATGCGGGACTTGAACCTTCGGTCACGTGCGCGAACGCTTAACCTTTAGATCACTAAGCTGGTCGGCATACAACGATGTTAATGTCATATACACCATTGTCTTCAGTGAGTTACTATCTCACAACAGACCTGGTTGTACTCCATTATTCACGTCTTCTCACTAGGACTCCAGGATATACCTCTTAAAGCCAGTCATTAGTGAGCAGATGATAATTATTATCAGAAGAGGATTTTGTGGAGATTTATTAATTAATGGTTGAATTCATGAATCAATTAAGCTAGATCACCATGGGTAACCTAGAAGCACTGAACAACTGTCTCGTCATAGTATGACATTCCTCATCAGTAAACATCTACGATCCCGCCCACTGGATTCAAACCCAATATCTATCGGGCCAATCTATTCGTTTTAGTTGGGTCATATTTTGACCTTGTTAATTATTCACTTTTCTCAATCTTGACTGTTTTTTTATAGGAGCGTATTATATGTGTGCCCTTCTTATCCTATTCATCATATATCTGTAGCCTATTTTGCGTGACCATAAATATTGAGTAAAGCTTGACTAAATGGAGTTGGTTTACCGCCATCTCCATTCCACTTCGTTTCTCTTCTCTCTATTCCATTCGCTTCATATACAAAATATATGTATTCAATAGACTATTCTCGTTATTTGACTTATTTAATACCGTTATTGACTAACGCAATTTAAATCTATGATTACATATGACAATAGGCGACTTATATGTATTTCAATAACAATCATCATTACGATCTCCTTGGAGTCAGATCTCGGGCCACTAAAGTGATGAGCCCGTCGACAAACATTGTCCGATCTAAATGACGATAAAATAAGGGGCCCCCACTAAATGTTGTTTCATTTGAATCAAAAGTATTGGATATATGATATATTTCAATAATGTAATAAAAAGACGAAGATTATCAGAACTATGTGATGATATATTAGTGCAATACATTTCGAACAATCTTATCACGCATAATATACTTGTTAAGAACATTTATATATAAAAATAAAAGGTCAGTTAGACTGGAAATGGGGTAAGAGGAGACAAGAATAATCATAAGAGTAATAATAATGATAGTAATAATTCTCGGAGTTCTAGTGAGAAGCCCTGACCAGTGGAGATAAGCGGTGTCGGGTAGAGACAGGTATCTACCTCAGTACAATGGAAGATGGCTGTACAATTTCGTGGATTGGTTGAGGTTACACATTAACACCATTGGATGCCTACTCAGTGGTCCAATAGGTTAGGCGGTCGCGCGTGAGACCGAAGGCCCTGTGTTCGAATCCCGCGAGAGGGATCGTGGATGCGCACTGCCACTGTGGAGTCACACAATAGGACGAAACGACCGTCCAATGCTTCAATGATGGTCTAACATCAATCGGTTCATGATTTCAATCAAAACTTAACAATCTCCACAACCCCTATACTGATAATAGTAATAATAATAATAATAATAATGTGAACACAATTTGAAACCTAATCACTCTGGATAATGAGTCAATATTACCAAGGGTAGGTTTAAGGTAAGAACAAACTGTTTTTGAACACACAAAGGGGGTTTGAATTTTCATATGACTAAGGCTTCAATAAACCTTAGTATTACGCCTTTTACACTTTTATACAACACCACCAAAAGCCAAGTTTAGATCAATCTTATGACCTGTTTCAATAGAGGATGATGGATGTTTATCCTCTACTCTAATTGGGTCATTCAATTCTATTTGTTTTTGCAATCATTTTGGTACATGTTCGTTCACACACCATCATTTTGAGATTACGATTACTCCTCCATATGTATGTGTAACCATACAGATCAATACCTATAGTTCTATTAAATCATTTAATCTATATTGAAATCTAACTAAATCATATAATTCCAACTTATCATTGAATTTTGACTTTGTCAACGAATAGGTAACATTGATGTACTGTTGTGGTAAACATGAATACATGATAGGGATAACCAATCACTATCTGTTCTTATTCTCCTCTCTTTGATTTTCTGCTACCATTCTACTACAAATATTTCATTTTCAATTGATGATACATACTACTTATATTGTTTATTACAACATCAGTAGCAAATATTATAGTATGACTTCATTCAGATTAACATTACTTAGAGTCATCCAGAAACTCTCTCTTTACATTTTATTGTATTTACTAACTTATCATTCTATGATAGAATGACACTAAAATTACATAATCATTAAGAAATAGTTAGGTATATTATTCAATAGTTAAAATAAATCTAAGATACTTACCCCCAAATGCCCTGGTACGGTCGAGAGTGGGGAGAGTCAGCTCTCCCTCTCCGAATGCCTTCACATGGCCACGCTTATATAGCCTCTGCAAGGGAAGTCCTACTCATTACGTTCTGGTGGCCACAGTGTTGTTTACGAAATTTAGAGGATGAAAAGCGAATGTCAGGCGCTTTAACCGGGTTGGTGGAAATGGAAAGTCCATCTAGGGGAGTTTGAAAACCCTCATTCCAAACCAATGATGCACATGCGTTCCATGATTCTGAAGGAACAAATGGCGTATGAACCAATTATTGGTCACTGGCTACCATGAGACTACATCTCTTTAAGATGCTCCACTGCCTTATGGATCAGACCATCAGATCGAAGGCTCCAGTTGTGGCCCCCTAAGTAAACTACCTTCTTCGGTTTGGTCACCCGGTCAGTAACACAGCTCTCACACATATCAAATGAGATCTGTGTGGTGCATATGTATGTGGTACTTCCCCCCTGTACCCATATTTGTGTTAAAATAAAAATAAAAAAACATATACTTACCCATAATAAATAAGTAATTTATAATGATAATAACATAATTCTTAGAATGTTAGTTAAACTATCCACATAATCAATGTTTTCTTTAGTATCTGTGGTATTATTGATTTATTGATATGTATAATTTATAATGATATAATGATACACAAATTTAAAGATATAATAAATCTGATTGGTTTATTTCATATTTATTCGATTATTTATATACACATATATATATACTACTTAAATTATCGAACACATTTTAGTTACTAAGCTTATATATAGTAACTAAGTAAAGACGATATATTAAATATATAATAGTAACTAAGTGAAATGATTATTATTATTACTTTTTATTTTTTTTTAAAAATTCAAACATAAATACACTTTTATCTGAGTGATTGGATGAAAACCAGATTTTTTTTAAAAAAAAAACAATAACAACATGGAGACTATAATTTATAGACGAACCAATCAGGTCAAAGATAACAAAGTTTGAATTTTGGCGCAAAATTCAATTCAATTCATTTGATTAAATTAATGTTTAATATTATAATTCATGTTAGTTGATGATAAAAACCATAAATTGAATTATAACCTTAATCATAATTCTAATTCTTATAAGCCTCATTTAGTCCTAGTTACATGATGAACACTCTTAAGATCAGTTCGTAGTGAACAAGAATACGAGTGGGGATAATCGAATGTATATGACATGAAATTACAGAGCATTTCACTAAGATCTGTGAACCATAAAGTAAATATCAAAAGGGGTTTTGTGGAGATATTTTTTAGAAATTTCAGTCAATTGAAGCTAGTCCACCATGGAAAACTTCGAAGCACTGGACGGCCGTTTCGTTCTACCATGAGACTCCTAAGCAGTGAGTATCCACGATCCCGCCCCCTGTGAGATTCGAAACCAGGACCTATCAAACTCATGATTTCAACTATTAGAATTAATAAAATCTCCAAAAAACTCTCTTCTGATAATAATTATCATCTACCCACTAGTGACTGACTTCAAGAGTCATTTCCTGGAGTCCTAGTGAGAAGCCGTTACCAGCGGAGTTCAACCAGGTCCGTTGTGAGGTATCAGCTCACCGAAGACAATGGTGGACATGTCGCTCAATTTCGTAGGTTATTTGAATTTAGACATTGACAGCGTTTGATGCCGGCCATCTCAGTGGTCTAGTGGTTAGGTGCTCGCACGCGAGACCGATAGGTCCTCTGTTCGAATCTCGCGAGGCGAGATCGTAGATGCGCACCGCTGAAGAGTCCCACACTAGGACGAAACGGCCGTTCAATGCTTCCAGGTTTTCCATGGTTGTCTAGTTTCAATTGACTCGTGATTTCAACCATATAGTAAATAGTTAATTTTGAAAATGTCAATCAATTGTCTCAAACTTAACTGTTTCTTTTGCGAATTTCAGTTCATCGTCTCAGAATTCATTGTTCCTGCATTTTCATGCTAATCGCTTTCCGTTCCCATTCTTCCCTTCTCGACCTTCTACTGTAATACATTCTATTCTTGATTATTGTTATGTACTACTTAATTGGATATAAGTAGCTCACATCACTATAGGACCTCTACCATTCTCATATAGGTGACAGATAAGGGTTGTTAAAAAACATCTATAAAATACATTTTTTCAACAATTATAATTTGAATGTATATTAGACGGGAATTCGTCATAATCTTACATCATTGACGCTGAAATCATCACCCCCACCACCACTACCCTTCCATTATAACATAATTTATAGTACTGAACACTAAATATTATTGTCATGAACATGGTTGTTAAGTGTCACTTAAAACTACACCATTGATTGAAGGTTGTATGAATGAGTTTCTCTGTCAAAAACACGTTATACTTTAAGAATAGATGAACCATTTACGAAGATAAATTTTTTTATATCCCTATGAGTAGAAAAACTGTATTTCTGATGTTTCGTAACTTGATGTAAACCACTTCTTCAGAGTAAATAAATAAAAGGATTAAATTAATACAATTCACTTGGTATTGTTTGTTTTTATCTTTCCATTGATGTTTAGGATTGCAATTATTCAGTTTCATGTCGACATGTGTGCATCCTGTACGGATTACAGCGATATTGCATTAAATCACAAACTTCATAAGCAAAGATAGATATTGTCTAGCAGTGGAGACCAGGACACGCATTTCATCCTATTTAGGACTCGTCAGTTGGATGTACCTACATCTCAGGGTTGATGTTCACTCTCGGATTCGAACCACTTCCATTCGGTTCAAATTCTATCGCGTTATCCACTTAGCTACTGAGTCCTGATAGCCATTTGCTTATGAAACGGGGTGAAGTTTAATTCATTTGGTATTAATTGCTTGTATCTTCCCATTGTTGTTTAGGAACGAAATTGATCAGTTACTTGTTAGCATATGTGCATAAAACGTCACAAAACTATTTGTCCGATTATATACACATATGTACTACTTAAATTATCGAACAAATTTGATTCCTAGCTGACGAGTCCCAAATAGAACAAAACATACATCCTGGATTCCACTTTGCTTACAATGCTTATGACTTAAGACAATATCTAAGCAATACGCACAGGATGTACATATGCCAATAAGAGACTGATCAACTGCAGACCTAAACATCAGTGAGAAGATTCAAACAAACATTACAAAATGAATTTAAACTTGACTACATTTCACAAGCAAATGGCTATCAGGACTCAACCCCACCACTTCATATCACAAACGCGTACGGTTTTCATACCCACATTCTGACACAAAAATTAATACAATGAAAGGTCATATCACAAATTCACTTTGACCAAGAATAATTTGATTTCAACATTTTCACACAGATCATGATTTTAATAATTGAATTCAAGAGTCGCTTGAAGCTAGACTACCATGGAAAACCTGAAAACACATGACAGCCGTTTCCCTCAAGTATGGAACTGCTTAACAGTGTTCATCCATGAATCCACATCCAGTAATCGCGTGCAAACTCTTAATCTCTAGACAATTGAGTCAGCATTCAAAAGGTGTTAATGTCTAACTCCATCCAATTCATGGTATTGAAAGATCACTTTCCATTATATGTAACGGGTGACTACCGAAACACGACACCGACTGAACTTCACTGACCACAAAATCTCGCCACAGCTCCAGAAATTTCCTCTCGAGTCTAAACACTAATGAGCATGTGATAATTGTCACTAAAGGGTTGTGGATATTGTTAACATTCACTAAAATCATATATAAGACAGCGTCTACAACGAGTTCGTGTCCCATGTTACTATTCCCTTCGTATGTGCTCATATCGTACGTCTAATGTCTAATAGAATCCCATGGTTCAACGTTGTAGGATTAATTTGATCGAAGAATTAATTATTAAACCAGTTTGTTTAATTTATCAAGGTAACTTCTTACTCAAAATTTCTATATGTTAGCTTATGTTTATTCATCTATAATTTAGAAGTGGTAGATCCAGAGACTACATAGAAAGAGTTCAATACAGTAATGCTACAACTACAGTCTGCTACTCAAACAACAGGGAATCCGTACATAAAATATGATTCGTCTAGAATAACTGCCTTCTTCTGAGTTAATCAATTCAAATATGATTCATTGGTCAATGATTTACTATTTAACACTTTCATATTCCTGAACACTTTCTGAGATGACTCAACAAAATCTGGATAATACCGTAATTAGTTGTGTCCTTACCCAAACATTGATTTCGCTAACATTAATGAGTTTGACTGTAAGCGGAATAGGTTCATTTTGGCCTGTTTGTGGTGTGCATAATTGATTCATGCGATCATTGATCAGAATAATTATTATACCTGTGACGCGAATATGTATATGAATGATACGAATGGTCCACAAGAGTGTTTGGTACCTGTGTGGTTGCACCACAGAATTGAACTGTACTATTCAGATTGTAGCGTTAAAGCCTATACGGTGTCTGGTTCTCCTGGGAAGCGGGATTGAGCTGTACTGCTTGGTTTATAAAATTTAAGCCTGAGTGGAATCTGGCTCTCTTGAGTTGAGTTGTACTGTTTGGGTTGTCACATGAAAGTCCGGACGGTGTCTGGCTCTCCTGAAACCTGATGTAAAATTACTCTGGCCCACAAGGGTATATTATATAACTTACCTAAACAAGACATTCAGTGAACATAATCAATCGTTTTCAGTAATTTACCATGTTAGTAAAATTCTTCCGAAATCTGTGAGATACTCATTCCCAATAAGTTAATAGTCATTTTAATTAAAAGATGACATAATTTGATGAAAATGTATACAGAATACTTTGTATTCTTATAAATAATATGCCCCCTTCTCAATACCTTCAACTGAATCTGAAATGCCAGATCTATTTTCAGGGTAAGGGGGGGTAGAAGCAATACATTGAACTAATCAGAAATCAGTCAAATAACAAGTGTACGTATATACAAAAGTCATGCTTATTTCCATTTGGTTTAGTTGATAAACTTCAGTCAGTCTCAGTCAGTCAGTAACAACGTAGAACTTCGCAAGTACATACATCAGTTCGAGTTGCCATACCACATTAGCACAAAGATGCAGTTGTCGATTCAAATCCCGTAGTGAGATTTGATAAGTGAAGTTCGATAAATTCCACTTATCACTCTCAGTGTTTTCATTTAAGTAGCCGGTTAGTATCGAGCATAAAATGATAACATATCTGTATCAACTCTTGGACATTGTACATTACAACAGTAAACTTATCTCATTCAAATACTATTATCAATACGGTGATTGTGAAGTGTGTTAAGTTTCACAATTGATTGATCACTGGGTGGTGATCAATGTCATGCTTGTCTAGTCCTTAATAGTGACTGTGAAGCTGGGTAACACGAGATTGAATCCATCAGGCAGAACCAATTCCCTCAAGATTACAGGTACACCTTGCTGACGAGTGCCAAGTAGCATGAAACCCGGGTCCAGGGTTTCCTGTTGACTACATCCAACCACCATCTAAGTGTGTTAAGTTTACAAATCATTCAGTGATTCCAAGTTTTCAATAGTTGTCTCACTTTGATTTGTGATCTCAATCAGATATTATAATTATCAAATAAAAGTGTTGTATACACTTGATGAATTCGATTTGTAACACTTGAATTTATGAGTCGATCTAAACTAAACCATCATTGAAAACCTGGAAATACTGAACAGTCATTTCGTCCTACTATGAGAATCCTCA